AAGTAGACAGTGTTGTATATATGTATATATATATATATATATATATATAGGAACATCGTATGCTTATTGATCCTGTTTGCTGGACCTGATTACGAATTCCACACCCAAATTCTGCACAGTTTGCTACTCTTACTTCGTAATAAACACACTAAGCGGGCTCGGAGTGCATAGACATTGCTTTATATTTCAAGTTAAGCGCCGATTCAAGTGTACTTGACCACGCCCTGCACCCTATGTGCGACCATCTAACCCAAATAACCGAGAACGTTTTTTTACTTATGTGGTGCCCAGACATGCGCTTCCTTTCTGGTGCTTCGAGACTTAGTGCTAAGTGCTGGCGTCCGCGTGCTACCGCTGTTTGAAGAGGTAATATGCTGTGGGTGTCTGTTGTTCTGTTATTCATAAGTTCATACTAAGTATTTCTGCAAACTGGGCTTTTTGATGAGTCTAAACAACTGATTAAACGTTTACTTCAGAAATGTACTGAAGTGTCGCATGATACAGAATAAGAGCTAGCCTATATGCTGTTGCTGTTTAGAGTGGTGATGTGCTGTACACAGGCTGAACTGTAAGTGTATCGAGTTCAATTCATACTCGTATACATTTCTTTATTCATATTGGTTATTGTTGGCGTATACAAAAAAAATGTCAGTAAATGGCCTCAGAATACTTTCCCTTTCTTGAAAAACAGATCGCTGCGCTCAACCACGTCCAGCTACAACGCCTGGTGAATGTCATTCAGAATACGGTCAGTGAGGCATTTGTCTACTTTCATGTCCCTACGAGTAGCTAATTTTGCAAGTGTATACATCAACATCGCTTGAGCCCATCAATATCTTCTAGGAGAACTATGACATCCCCAATCGGTATTCTAAAGTGGTGCGTGTGTATCGTTTTGTTTAGATCGACTTCGAAGCCTCCTCGCTCGCCCGCAGAACATCCATTCAGCCATTTGTTAACGCCGATTTGGACAAGCTCAAGGAAAAATTCGACGGTCTTCCTGATCTCTTGGTATGGTAGATGCCAAATCCAAATTCTTCGCTCATAACAGAAGCACACGTATATGTATTATACAGGTAGTGAGTTGACTATGATATGTGATAGCCGAAGAATCCATACATATATATATACCTGTTATGTGGGTTTCATCAATGTGTATATAACTGAATTACACCTGGAAGACTACTCGCATATAGTACGCGACCCGCATAATCACCGCCCAGCACGACGTCCATGTATATTTATCATCCGCGAATCTTTTGTTCTTTTGATTGTGTTTAAATATCGCGCACGAGAACCGAATAGTTGCACCACAATTTATACTAAATCTGTAGTGTTTCCTTGCTGTACGCAAAACTGAGAATGTACATAAATTATATATTGGTACCTCTATCTGTGAACTTGTGTACTCATACGCACACGCTTGCAATGTTCAGAGTGTACCCACGAAAACATGCTTCCCCATGTCTGCAAAAACGTGTGACTGTGATTGAGTGAGTCTATACCACGTCTCTATGTTGCTAATTGCACTCAACTATACAAACGGGACATGTACATTGGTACGTATTAAAGTAAGCACGCATTATCATAATTCAGTCATATTCCAATCCATCTCAGAAATATACGGCCGTGCTTATTCTTACAGACCCGTGTCGCCGCGGCTGAGATGGACACCTACCAGGACATCCCCGAGTGCACTGTGGTGTACTTCCCTCAGCTGGGCTATTTACTGGCTATCCCGCGACCCGCCCACGAACAAACCAATACAGACCCCAGTACCACTACAACCAACACACAGACTCGTACGGCAGGGTATGCGACTGGTACTGAACATTTAACCAGGAACTCGGATGCGAGGAAACACGACCGTTCGGCTACGCTCCGACGCAGCAGTCGTGTGTATACGAATCGTACGCCACATCATACGTCGGCGTCACAGTCCAACATCCGACCTAGTGTGAACGAAAGATACGATTATACTACTACGGAGGACTCAATAGTGGAACCGATAGTTCGCAATTCCAACGGCGAATATCAATCTACGTACACAGGTTAGTGTAGCAACTACCAATACTGTTGTCTATTTTCCAAATCGTACGAGAGATACATATAAATGATGATAAACAAACATTTACCACCATATACACGCATATAATATACACGTTTGTGCCCTTGGTTTTACCCTGACAAAAGCCAACACAGGTACACAAGATTACACTCACACCCGAGATAGTCGCGAGACTGCAAACCATGGCCAGACACAAATGTCGGCTGTACTGAGTGCATGGTCAGCAGCTGACGAGCAACACAACTATGCAGATATTTACCCACAGCTGATCTTTCAGTTCCGCACTCCCCACGCCATTCACTACAAGAGTGCCCGGATGACTGAGTATGTGTATGAAATATGTGCATTGCTCGTATATATA